GGCTCCCCGCTTATGCAAATGAAGCCCGGGAAATTCAAATCCCGGGCTTCATTTGCAAGTGCGGTATGCCTACATTACCCCGCTAGTTCGAACTAGGAGGGTAGTGTAGACATACCCTCAGTGACCTTTAGTATTCTTGTGTGAAATTTGTATGGGGTAGGTATACAGGAAATATGATTGTGGTTTTGTTTTTAGGGAGGTTTTGTTGAACTCCCGTAATTTACCACAGAAAATGGAGAAATGGGAAATTTAAAAAAAACCACAACTTACACAAAATGCATCTGTTATAAATCAAAGGTGTTGGGTTGAAATTTGAAGCTCAGAATATTTATATTATGCACATTGGCTTGCAATGAGTGACCGATGAAGCCATTTCAGTTTTTGATGATGATTGCTTTAGTCCTTTCCTTGCAATAATGATACTATGATGGTTACTTTTTTCTAGGCAAAGGAGATGTGTTTGGCGATGTGTTCTGGAAAGAATCTACCCTTGCTCAGTCCTGTGCTAATGTAAGGGCCTTGACTTACTGTGACCTTCATGTGATTAAAAGGGAAGCCTTACAGAAAGTGTTGGAGTTCTACACCGCCTTTTCTCACTCCTTCTCCAGAAACCTCATCTTAACCTACAACTTGAGAAAACGGGTAAGGACCTTCATTTTTAACATAGGTATTCTACAAATAATCAAAAGACTGTCGCTGTAATTGGAAACTTACTGGTTTTTAATTTGCCATTCCTCTTGCTCTTCCATAAATATGTAGATGAAGGTTGATCAATGATATTGCTAATGTCAAAAAGTCACAACTGTATGTGCATAATTAGATCTGGGTATGCCAAAAAGTCCTTTGTTTTAATGTATAAGAAGTGATCTGGGAAAACACTTGTAAGTTGTCAAACTGTTGTGATCAGTTAGTCATTGGTTTTGCACTGTTGATAATTGGCGTTCACTGAATTCTGCTGCTTTATTGTGACAGTGCAATTTAAAAAGAGGGGGCATTATTAATCACTTGAGAAACTTAGGAAAAAGCCTGAAATCTGTTCGATGGAAGAAAAATCATTACAAGTTTGTAATTCTGCAGTTGCAATAGCAATATAAATAAACATGAATGATTTTAGCAGTTGTTGTTTCTAACTAAAAATACATTCTGGAAGTACTTTGCTGACTTAATTGATCTGTTTCCCCTTGCCCCTGTTTTTTTTCTATTTTTTTTTTCTTATGTGTTCTGAATTCCAAGACTTACTGAGTCAGGTACAAATTGTGAAAAAATATAATATACCATTTTATCCCTTTGTAATCTCAATGAATCACTGCTGTGGAATATTATTAAAATAGTGGTTCATAGATTTCAGTTACTATGATTCCATGATGAAGTGCAAAAGACAGAGGAATATGAAATTGTGAATAATTGGCGTATACTAGAGCTATTTTTTAAAAGAATATTTAACAAAAGGAGGTACATAATCACCTAACATGTATTTTTGGTAGACTTTTGTTCCTAAGAAATTCGCCATGGTAACTATCAAGTGCCACATAACTTCTAGCTAATTATAGCTGAATACATAGCAAAACTCTTTTTCAGCCTTTTTGTAAAATGATGACAATGTGAGAGTAAAATTTAACCCCAGCTGGCTAATTCTTGTCACTGTGGATTTACTCTTGGCATGTTGAAATTTAGAAAACTTTTCTAAATTTACATCTATTGATGTGGACTATCAATAACACATTCCGTGCATTTGCACATTTTACAACTATCAATTATTTTAGGTCTCCAGTATGCTATAATGGAGGTAAGTATCCCCATTTCTGACATAATGTCAAAGCCACAATGATAAATTATCATTACAAAATTCACAAGCCAGCTCCTTGAGATGTAAATTCTATTTGTTTTTCAGGGAATCTTTACTTTACAAGGTGGGCTTTATTGAATGGTACGGAGTTTCTCAGCCTGTGTCTTAAGACCACAGGCCTGTACACAGGAATGTCTGTGGGGTGTGTGCGTGCTTTTTTTTGTAAATGTGGACCACAATTTTTTAAAATATAAATGAGTCCAAATAATAAGAACATAAGAACATAAGAACGGCCGTACTGGGTCAGACCAAAGGTCCATCTAGCCCAGTAGCCTGTCTACCAACAGTGGCTAGCACCAGGTATCCCAGAGAGGGTGGACCGAAGACAACGATCAAGCGATTTGTCTCCTGCCATCCCTCTCCAGCTTCTGACAGACAGAGGCCAAGGACACCATTTTATCCCCTGGCTAATAGCCTTTTATGGACCTAACATCCATAAAATTATCTAGCTTCTCTTTAAACTCTATTATAGTCCTAGCCTTCACAGCCTCCTCTGGCAAGGAGTTCCACAGGTTGACCACACGCTATGTGAAGAAGAACTTTCTTTTATTAGTTTTAAACCTGCTCCCCATTAATTTCATTTGGTGTCCTCTAGTTCTTCTATTTAGGGAACTAATAAATAACTTTTCTTTATCGGCCCTCTCCACACCCCTCATGATTCTATAGACCTCTATCATATCCCCCCTCAGTCTCCTCTTTTCTAAACTGAAAAGTCCCAGTCGCTTTAACCTCTCCTCATATTGGACCCGTTCCAAACCCTTAATCATTTTAGTTGCCCTTTTCTGAACCCTTTCCAAGGCCAAAATATCTTTTTTGAGGTGAGGAGACCACATCTGAACACAGTATTCAAGATGTGGGCGTACCATAATTTTATACAGGGGCAGTAAGATATTCTGGGTCTTATTTTCTATCCCTTTCCTAATAATTCCTAGCATCCTATTTGCCTTTTTGACCACCACTGCACACTATGTGGAAGTTTTCAGAGAACTGTCCACGATAACTCCAAGATCTCTTTCCTGATTTGTCGTAGCCAAATTAGCCCCCATCATACCGTATGTATAGTTGGGGTTATTTTTCCCGATGTGCATTACTTTACACTTATCCACATAAAATTTCATTTGCCATTTTGTTGCCCAATCACTCAGTTTGGTGAGATCTTCTTGGAGTCCCTCACAGTCTGCTTCTGTCTTGACTATCCTAAACAGTTTGGTATCATCTGCAAACTTTACTACCTCACTGCTTACCCCTTTCTCCAGATCATTTATGAATAAGTTGAAAAGGATTGGTCCCAGGACTGACCCTTGGGGGACACCACTAGTTACCCCTCACCAATCTGAAAATTTACCATTTATTCCTACCCTTTGTTTCCTGTCTTTTAACCAGTTCTCAATCCAAGAAAGGACCTTCCCTCTTATCCCATGGCCATGTAATTTACACAAGAGCCTTTGGTGAGGGACCTTGTCAAAGGCTTTCTGAAAATCCAAGTATACTATATCTACTGGATCCCCCTTGTCCGCATGTTTGTTAACCCCTTCAAAGAACTCTAACAGATTAGTAAGACAGGATTTCCCTTTACAGAAACCATGTTGACTTTTGTCCAACAAATTATGTTCTTCTACATGCTTCACAATTTTATTCTTTACTATTGTTTCGACTAATTTGCCCGGTACTGAAGTTAGACTTACCGGTCTGTAATTGCCAGGATCGCCTCTAGAGCCCTTTTTAAATATTGGTGTCACGTTGGCTACCTTCCAGTCATTAGGTACTGAAGCCGATTTAAAGGATAGGTTACAAACCACAGATAATAGCTCAGCAATTTCCCATTTGAGTTCTTTTAGAACCCTTGGATGAATGCCATCCGGTCCCGGAGATTTGTTAACATTAAGTTTTTCTATTTGTTCCAAAACCTCCTCTAATGACACTTCAATCCAGGACAGTTCCTCAGATTCATCACCCACAAAGGACGGTGCAGATTCAGGAATCTCCCCAACGTCCTCAGCCGTGAAGACTGAAGCAAAGAAATAATTTAGTTTGTCTGCAATGGCTTTATCGTCCTTGATTGCTCCTTTTATAGCTCGATCATGCAATGAGTGTGCATAAGAGAAGCTAATGAAAAATTTCAGAGGAAACAGTGATTGGTAAAATGATTTTGTTATAACCATACTAAAAGTTGATACAGTAATGAATGATTTATAGACATTACCTTCAGGGATCTTGCCATAATATCATAAGTGCAAAACAATATTCCAAAATATTCCAATCTTTGTCTTCAGTGTTTTTCAGTTAAGACTATATTTAAGATAGTAGCAGTGAAATAGATTTTAGGTAACATCAAACTTTTCTCCATTACAGTAAATTCACAGTAGTATCTAAGACATGTTCATAGTAAATTTCCATCTTTAAGGAGAATTTGAAGCTCCGCTCTTCTAGGGAACTTCAAGGCAAAGATTTCCACGACTTCATACAAGTCCACTTTGCCAGACCTGACAATTGCTTTTGTGTCATACAGGCGAGTAATTGTGCATTCTCTAAAAATCATGAAGTCTGTGGCTGTATCACTCCCATGTCTCCCAGCTGCCAGCCACTGTCCTCCATTTAGCTTTCCCCTTACCTGCTGGCCAGGCTCTGCCCGCAGTGCTGCCTGGAGGGCATCAGGTGGTATTTCATGGCATCCAGCAGCAGCTTCTGGCAGATGGGGTTGGTGTGCATAAATCCACCAATTGGAGCTTCTCTACCAGCTCTGGGGCCGGGACAAGCGGATGTGCTTCATGAGGTCCAGGCTGTACTGCATGCAGGTCTCCTAGTCAGGCTCCCGCCAGAGCAGGGACATTTGGAAGAGCGCCAGCTCCAACACCACTGGGGGAGGCAGCGAGTCGAGAAGGGTGCGCATCTCCTTGAAGTTGAGCAGCAGCACGTCCTCCACCAGGTACTCATTGACCAGTTTCTTGGTCTCCTCCAGGCCGTGCAGGGCAGCGATCTTGCACACCAGCTTGTAGTTCTGCACCGAGATCTGGTCATTGAGGAACTGCACACATGGCTTGGTGACCTGTGGGATGTGCAGGGTTTTGCTGACTGACAGAACCTCCTCCTCCATGTCCAGGGACAGGGTCACGTTGGCCGTGTACAGGAATTCCAGCACCAGGCGCAGCCCAATGGACGAGCTGCTTTGTGTCACCAGGTTGTTGATGGCCCTGGGGCTGGCCAGCAGCTTGTCCTGGGTGGGGGAGGAAGAAAGGGTGCCAAGCCCTTCCTGCTGCTGCTCCTTAGGGGGTGCCCCCAGACCCAGCCTGTCCTGAACGCCCGACCTCAGTGCCAGGGTTGGGGGTGGCTGCCACAAGGGCTGGAGAAGAGGGATCAGACTGGGAGCAGGAGGCCAGCACAGCCTTGTGGCAGTGGAACTGCTGGCCCTGAGCTACTAGGGTCACGCTGCAGAAGAGCTGCCTCCTCCAGAGCAGGTTGAGGCCATGCAGCAGGTTGTTGCTGTGGCTGGGGTTGAAGGTGGAGGTCCTGTCCCCACATCTGGACATGGTGAGCGGCCTCAGCGCACCTGCCTTTAAACCCTCCTCCAACCTGGGATAAGGGGGCAACAGTGGGGGTGGGGAGGGGACAACAAAAATACAGAGCTTTAAAGGAGGCTGGGAGCTCTCATATTTGCCACGTGAGAGCTTCTCCACTCAGCCGCACCTCCCCAGAGCAAGGGCCCTTAAGCCATCCACACAGCAAGCTGGCACAAGCCCCTGGGCCAATGCCTGGTACTGGGGCTTTGTCCTCTGTGCACAGGGTGCGTGTAAGGAGG